AACGCAACTTTAAAGTGGACCTATCATGCTATATTTGAATAATATATTGTAGGGCCATACCTATATAAAACATGTCTGTGAAGGTTTTTTTTCAAAATACCATGCATTTTAGCCATGCCTCATTTCGCTCTATTTGCTCTTTTCCAGCCCTGTTTTTGCAAGGGCTGATTCTGAGAAGTCTTCTTCGCTGCTTTTGTGGCAGACTACAGCGCCACTTACAGGCCTGGCATATGTACTACAGCGTCTCCAGCGCTTTCGAGCGGCAATGGCCGTGGCCCAACCCCCCATTCCCCTGATAGATGGAGAGTTGCCCATATAGGCGGAGCACCCCTTTTCCAAAGTCAGAAAAATTCAAATCTGGATCAGTCTGTATCAGCTCCGTTGCAGCCCCGTTTTTAGAGATTTGGGTATGGAGGAAAGGAGAGAGGGTTGTGTTTTCTGACACTTGGTGAGTTCCCTGACACAATGGGGACACATATTCATGTATAAAAGACCTACAAAGGTGCANTGCACTACTCATCGACTAAAAAACACCAGATTATCCTTGTTAATTACACACGAAGGGGAAAAATACAAAAGCATTGCACACAATTTAAACCAATCAATGTTGTGTAATTAACAAGGATAATCTGGTGTTTTTTAGTCGATGAGTAGTGCAGATATCACTGTAAAATCAATCGACAGTAAGGGGAATACTTACTTCCGGGTGTACAATTCTCCGTTATCCAATGGGAATGGACGCTCACATTGCCTTTAAGGGCAGCCGACACAAACGAATGCCGTGCTTCCATGAGCGTCAAATCCCGCCGCAGATGGGAATACATTGCAATCAGTTGAAAGCTATTTGCGTCCCTTTATGAAGCTGAAGGAGCCTAGGAGCGTCACAACTGCACGCCACGGGACCCTGACCAAACGTCGCTCCTGGACGATTATGGAGTGAGAGTGTGTTGGTTTATTCTAAGAGACTCAACATGTGGCTTTTCCTGGCTGGCGATGTATCCACAGCACCCACAACAGCTTTGCAATGCAAAAGCAACTCCAGTAATGTGAGAGAGCGAGTGAATCTTGACATATGAACACATGAATCTTTATGAGTAGAGACCACTCAGTTTCCTCAGTTATCTGCAAACACAAGGCATTTTATTTCAGTATCTAACAGAGGGAAACCAGGGATATCTGATGGTGTTAGTGATTGTGACAATGAAGTGATGATTATATTAAACAGGCTTAGAGTATTGCATGTTTTACACCTTTTATACTCTCGATTTCTCAGAACATTTGATAGTTTCTCGAGAGTTCTTTTTGTAAAAGCAGGAGAGTGCTGCTGTTTGGAGGTCATGTGTATTGATCTGGGTGTGATCCTTCTCTCTGCTGCTCTCTGACCTTATTGCTCTGTCCACAGCCTTTTGAGAAAAATAGAAATTGAGAGAGAGCCCCATTGTTGCTGTCATTGACCCGACCATAAAACAACTATTTGCATTTCCTTCTCATCTCTTTCCTTTCTCCTCTAAGTGACTTTTTATTACTGCAGCCCCATCTCTCTGTCTCTGATTATCTTTCCCCCTCTCTGTCTCTTTCTTTCTCTCAGAGGCAAGCTGAGCTGGTGGAGAAAAATCTGACAATGATCGAGGTAAAGATGGAGAGAGGGAGGTAAACACAGACAGACTGACAGAAAAAAATAAGAGATAGAAGACGTGTCTGTGATCTCTGTGTGACGCTGATCCCTGCATGGCCCAATTCTTTATCTCTACACCTCACCGTACTTTTTGCTTCTGCTTGTTTTTGTTTTGATTCTATCATACATCCTTCTATATGCTGATTCATTATCAAACTGCTCAATGCAACCCAAAGACTGCAGTTCTGTAGTTAAATTAAGCTGTTTTTCTTTTTTTGCAGGAGAACTTTATCTCTGTCATCTTCTCCCTCTTCTCAGCAGGTAGTGATCGCTCTGCAGACATGCGCTTCGGCACCTCACAATTACTGTCACGTTTGGTTACAGATTAAAAAGAGCAGTATGAAACGATAGGCAATTAGGATGTGATGTGAATTCATTAAAAATGTCTCAGTTATTTATTCACCTCCAGCCGTCTTTATTTTTTATTCATTTTTTTATTTTTAGGCAGTGCAGAGTTTCTGTCCAACTGTTTAACCCCAGAATGCCCTGAGGAAAACTTTTGGTTGCTGTGTGGCTCCACTTACGGCCTATAATACAGCACAGCAAGCAAACAAGCAAACTGTGGAGCGGCACAGGAACATAAACAACAATTAGTTTCCTCAATTACGATACTCACACTCACAGCGTGTGCAGGCCAACAGAAATGTTTTGAGCTTCAAATTGGCCATTTCCTCCCTATTTCAGTGACAGTTAGGAGGTGAATATGTCTCCAGTTAGTCCTTTTGGCTAGAACCCACATTTGAACTTAAAGTATACAAGTCAGAGATTGCAAAGTGAGACTCATTTCCAAAGAAAACATGAAGAACTTATTCCTCTTCAACATGCTGTATGGACAATTTAGCACTAATACTTTGTACATATTAACAAGTCATCCAGTCATCCCTAGATGAATAGCTGCAAACACCATTGGGTGCTTTGCTCAAGGGCACCTTGTCCAGATTCCTGCACAGATTTGCTAACCTTCACCTGCAAAAGCCCAGAACCCGAATTGACCAATGAGCACATTTCACTCAATCAGTGCCAGAGTGTCGTTCACAAAAAAGAAAGCCTGGCAGTTGGTTATGCACATTTCAGTCAGACAACTCACATGTTTCTTAATATGTTTATGATAAGCAGCATATAGTTTGAGTTTGGCGTCTAGGCTCGGGCCTCATCACCCCACAGATTTACAAAGAACATTGAGTGATGATTAGATAACTATCCCCTGAGCCTACAGGTGGGAGCTGGGGTGGAGCTGGGGTGGTGGTGGGTCAGGCAAGCAGCAGCAACATGAAACACAGCAGCAGGAACATGAACGCAGCAATAGCAAGTGAACACAGCAGTGCAGCAGCAGCATAGTGAGGCAGAGGCAGGAAGACCTGGCAGCTTAAATAGAGTGGCATGTTTAGGAGAATGTGTTTGTTTGGTTGTAAGAGGGACGAGGTGCGTCACTTGTTAATGTATCATTGGTGCTCGAGTTGACTGCCTGAACTAGCTCGCAGGCTTCGCCCCATTTCATATCATTTTTATATTTTTGTTGGCCAATGAAATGACTCAATCCATTGGTCATAACTTGAACCAACTTCCTATAAGATATATACATAGATATATTGTTTTGTTCCAGCAGCAGTGTCAAGCATTACACAAGTTAGAAACAATAAGATACACATATAATAAAAGTAAAGATTAACATTAGCGGGAAGTATATATATACACATTTTAAATTGTCACCAGGAGCAAGTATATCCAAGTTCACAATAGAAAAGACATTGAATTGACATTATAACTGTGCAAAATAGCTGTTGTGCACATTTTTCTGGGTTTTGCAAGAGGAGACACTTTACAAGCTAAGTGCTTGATGGGACCAACAAAGGTTACATGTCACAATCAAACTGTCCTAATATACTGTAGTTACTCAGAATATGGCAGAATTAAGATCCCACCCATATGGTTACCTCTGACCTGATGAGAGCAGTATCCCACAACACTCTGCAGGGTCCTGCAATGTGCTGATCAGGACAAAAAAAGAGAAAAGGGAGAAAACTAAGAGAAAAACCAGTGGTTTGCATTCTTCAAAACCTCATATGTAATTTCTTTTGGATGTAACTTCTCCCAGGTTTGGGGAACCCAAACTGATATGTAACTTGATAATCGTGTGTGTGCATGTGTGTGTGTGGTTGAATGAAATATCAACACAAACACCTTCCTGCTTTTATCGCGCCACCCTCCTCCACCTCTGTGTTTGACCTTGTTGCTGCAGAGCCTGAGGGGGGATGGGGGAAGAGAAAGAGAGTGATTGGGGTTGACGGTCAAATCTCCTTCTGTTAACGAGCTGTCATCTGCAGACCGGAGTTCCCACACATCCAAACAGACCTGGGGATCCCGAGCTGCTGCCCTGCTGCTGTGTTTGTTCGTAACAACACTCTCATCAAGGTTTAAACAACGAAGTTCTCTATTCAAACCACACAGAATCTCATGGAAGTTCACCATCCCACACACACACACGCACGCGCGCACACACACACACACACACACACACACACACACACGCACGCGCACACACACACACACACACACAC